CTGGGAAATTCTGGGAGTTGAAGTCCACACCTCTTAAAGTTGCCAAGGTTGAGAAACACTGTGCTAGTATTTTATCTCATGCATTTAATTTTATTTTTGCGTTGCATATGTTCAAATTTTGCTGGTCACCATTGCACGCCAAGAAACAGCTCCCAGCTTCAGGGAGTCTTGATCTTTTATTCTTCCTGCAGCTCAAAACCAGAACAACTGTCTTTGTAGGGGAAATCTGCCATTTTATTCATTGTTTCCCCCTATTTTTAATCCACCCCAATTCCGAAGGACTCCGGTCACCGTAACCATGTCAGGCAGAAAATAAAACACTGCGCGTAACACCTAAATCCAAATCAGTATCAAGACCAAACATTAGCCACTCCTAAAAAGGCAGTGATTTAAAAAATGATGTAATATCTGTATTTGTAGGTCTGGATGCTCCAGATCCTTGCTTGTTCGGACAACACCCTTCCCTGGTTATTGAATTAACCCCCATTTTCTGCATTTGGACATTACCCCTGACTCACCAGGCTGGGTTCCTGCAACGAAAAAGTCCACTAGAGTTTTTTAACACTAACCCAACTTAGGATATTGTGCGAATGCAGAGGCAAGTTTCTTACCTGACCTGGTTGAGCCAAAGGTTTTTATGGGTTAAAGTCAAGTTCCCCACAACATCCCCCAATGCCAGGTTCCCAAAATACAGTACGCTAAATTATAATAATTCCAGAGATATTGAAAGTCAAACGTTCTTCAATCTGGCATCCCCAGGTATGTGGGATGGCCAATTCCATAATTCCCACCATGCCCAATGTGGATTATGGGACCTGGTATCCAAGGTATTTGGGAAAAGCTGGCCTAACCGTCAATTAATTTTTGAAGTTCCATGTAGGCAGGGTCTAAGATGTATTTAGAAGCCCGGGGATATGCATAGCAGTTTTAAATTATATTGACTATATTTTGAGCTATAGAAGGGACAATAGGATATTTGTGACTTAATGTACTCTCCCTTAAAGGCAGCTTTCAAAACTGGCCAGAACAAGGGTGCCTCCGAGCACAGCCAGAGTTGACACGCGAGGAAACGAGCAGGATCTTTTTCAAGAAGGGGGGAAAAAAGCACGAGCCGAAAGCCCTCGAGGCTCCCCGAAAATAAATACAATAAAGTCGGCGGACCCTCCCGCCTGCGCAGTCAGACTTCCAGCAGCGGAGTGGGCGGGGGGAGCGGAATGGTAGAGGCGTTCCCCCGCGAGCCACGCCCCTTTCCTCGGATTCCCGCCACCGCCGGCCAATCACGAGGCTCCGAGCGGCGCACGGCGATTTTCCCCGCCAAACTCCAAAGCCGGGAGTTGTAAAAAAAGAGAGAAAAGCAGCTTTTGGCGCGGCCGGAGAGTTTTTCCCGGCGTCGTTCTCCGTGAATAGCCAGCTCTCTTCCTGCGCAGAAAGCCTCCTTTCCCCGCTGAGATTTGCATCGCTACGCTTCGGAGCGGACTGACTGCGGCTCTGCTTTTTTCTATCCTGCTTTTCTAAAAAAAGGCGCCAATCTTTGCATCTGCACGGGGATCCGGGAAGCAGGGAACGAAGGATCCGTTTTGCACGGTGAGTAAGGAAGGGTTCTTTAACCGTCCCCCGTGCAGAAACGAGCGTATAGTGCTTGCGGGGCGTGTTTCGACTTACTCCCAGGAAAGCGGGGCTGAAGAATCTTTGCGGGGGTGTCCTCTGGGGTGCGAAATGGCACCTCTCTTTCCCCCTGTCCGTGCAGAAGGGAAAGGCCAAGACGCGTTTTTAAAATCGCGGGGTTTGGGGCACTCCTTTGCCTGCGTTTCCTCGAGCCAAAAGCTGCGGGGGGTGGCTGGCTGGCTGGGTGTGCAAAATTAGCACTCCCACAGGAAACCGACCGAGCTCCCCGGAGTTCAGGTGTGGATCCTGCCTGCGAATTCGTGCAATCCCTGTGCAATCCGAGGCGTGCCTACTCAGAGGTAAGCCCCGTTGCATTCATGGACTTGATGCCCAGGTAAGCTCGTGCTGGATTTAAAATGCAAGTTACTTAGAGGGGTTAAAACGAACCATAGTCTGCGTTCCTAAAACTTTTGCAACACCACAAATTGAAGTTTTTGTAGGTACCGTATTAGACTGGGTCAGTCGAGGGCTCTCTGTCCACCCAGATCACAATCCCAGTGGCTCTGGTGAAATTTCTCCCCAGAGGTTTTTTTTTTTTTAGGTTTTACTAAATTCAGCTCGAGAAGAACAAATGAACCTTTGCAAGCCACGTGGGGTTGCCTACGCTCTCCTCTGGATTTTTGTGGCATAAAAGGAAACAGCCACTGGAGGCGTAGCTGTGCCACCCTGTTGCACAATGACCGCTGTAATGTTCGTCTGGCAGTTTTGGGCCGCCTGAAAGGCCGAAGGCAGGCACGTCGGCTCAGAGCTGTCCCAGAGCGTAGGAAGATGGAAGGGGCAATCCTGTAGACATTCACAAGGAATGGTGGAGTTGCATATAGTTGTACGTCAGTAAGCGTAATATACTTTGGAATCTTAGCCTTGGAGGGGATCTCAGAGGCCATCCAGTCTGACCCCTGCTCAGTGCAAGATCCACTGGAGTGTCTGACAGATGACTGTCCAGCCTCTGTTTGGAGACCTCAAGTGAAGCAGCACTCATGTGGCTGACAGCCCACATAGTTAGGAAGTTCCTCCTGATCTTGAACCTCATCCTTTGGTGCTGACTCTGGTCTTGCCCTCTGGGGCAGAGGAAAATGACTACATTTCCTTGCTACATGACACATAATTGCAGACTGCTGCGCCTCCCCTGAATTGCCTTTTCTGTAGGCTAAACTCAGCCCCATCCTTTAACTGTTCCATACGACTTGGTTTCTAGACCACTTGCCATCTTGAACTTACTCCAGTTAGACTAGGAAGTTGACAAAAGTACGGTTTGACGGTGGACCCTGTGACCTAGGGAAATGGGGGGCTTCCCTTTTCCAGATGTGTTTAAATGAAGGCTCAGCAGATCTCTATTTGGGTTTGTGCACTGAGCAGGCAATAGACTTGGTGGCCTAAATTGTTCCTGCCAACTCTATGATCCATGAATAAATGCAGTGAAAATATTTGTGCTTAGGCTATGATTATGAACCCACTTTCGGGTATTTACTATTCCCATATGTGCTCTGAAAATGATTCAGAAGAAGTACTTTAGACTATGTGCAAATACAGCATCTCCCTTGCAGCTCATTGAAGCAGCTATGTCTTCTTGCCTCTATGGGGGGGGGGAGGAAGGTGACTGCTTTAATGAACTGTCTCATTAAAGCAGCTGTGTGGTCGATTTGATTCTAAAAGCAGCCACCTCTTTTTTCAAGCTTGCCTGCAGCTAAAGCACTCCTTTGAATTGTTTTCCAAGTGTCTGTAGCCCTTGTATTGATCCAGTAAGGCTTGGGAATGGGCGTATATAGGGCCACGTGTTTTTTTTCCACTATGATTTGTTATTTTCTAAATGGCTCACAGGTGGCTGTGCACCTTAAGGTGAGATAGTCGTAATCCGGCAAATAAAATATCGCACGGCATGAAAAAAGCAGTTAAAATAAGTAAACATTTATTATCTTGATGGTATGCAGCCTGCCCTGTATATTAAAAAAATCCTGGGGGGTACCTATCCCCATCTGAATCTTCAGACTGAGTTGGAAAAGAAATTTGAAGGTTTGGAAAGCTCGTGTCAGGGTGGTGCACACATGGAGCAGTTTAACTTTGTCAGAGGCAATTTCTTCCATTCCTTTTTGAATACTGTAATATCTTTAGAACCGTGTTTCTCAACCTTGGCCGCTTTAAGCTGTGTGGACTTCAACTCCCAGGATTCCCCAGCTGGCTTAA